CATTTGTAAACCTGCTCTGTTTGTAACCTGTGGTTTCCAAATCATCMCTGCTGCCTGAAAAAACAGCCTGTTCTCCCCCAGCTAAAAATAATTTTATCTGAAAGCATGCATAAAACACCTTTACTCCTTCTGAGGCAGAACCAGCGAGGGGKATATCTGCATTTCCCCTGGGGTTTGGGGATGCTCACCTTGTCTCTGTGTGAACCAGAGCTGGGGTTGTGACCAGCTTGATGTAGTGTGACCTCCACCAAAAAAAGAGAAAATGGCTCGGAAATGGTCAGAGAGGGCAGAGGAAGGCTCTTAATTGTTGATTCTGAGAGGGTCAGGCTGAAAGAGCTTCAGCCACCAGCAACTGGGGTGTGAACTCCGTGCTCCCTGGGTGCCATTAGGACAGAGCACAAGGACCCTACAGCTGCCTGCCTTGTCCTACACCATCTTTGATGGGATAAGAAGGGTTAAACTCCCTCTGCAAATATCCAGGTGGGTGTGTGCTTCACACACTCCGGTGCCTGAGCATCATCAAAGCACCATTGCCTTTTTTTTTTAACAGCAGTAATACAATAACACGTGAGAGGTGAAGGGGTGGGGGAACGCTGCTAACAATGGGGAAAAAATCCAAACKGGAATCAAAAGGGCCTTGTGAAGCTGTGCTGCTCAGGAGCTGGGGAAGCAGCCGCTGCAAAAGCTGGATGAAACGCYGGGGTCACTAAAAGGAAGCGCTGCCGTCAGGGTTTTTGGGAGGGTTTAATAACAGCTGCTACACCTGGGTGCCTTTTGTGAGGCCCTTGGGCACGGTGGTTTCCATTAAAGGTTTTTGTGGGGTGGAGTGTGGCCAATGAAGGATTGCAGGCGCTGCCTGCCATGCCCTCAGCAAAGCCAGAGCCAGCCACAGGGGCACCAGCCTGTGCTGGAGGAGGACAGCCTGGCTTTCCAAGTCCTGTCCTAAAATCCAACATCCTCTCCCTGCAAAGCCAAGCTGCGAGCCTGGCCTCTCTGTCTGACCTCCCAGGGAAATCCTGTGTGCACTTGTGCCCTGATTTCCTGCTCTGGCTGGTGGGAAGCAGGATGGAATARCTCCAAGGAAGGTGTTTCCTGCTGTGCTGTGCTGCAGGTTTGCAAGGTGAGCCCAGGGATGAGGAGGGCAGGTTGGCTTTTTCCTCTTTTTGGTGCTGCCTGGATTTTGGGATCACTGTCCTGGAAAGTTTCCTTTTCACAGGAGCTCCCCCATGGCAGAGGGAGGGATGCTTTGCCCTTTCTGCATGCTAGAGTGCTCATTTCGGATAAACCAGCCAAGAGACAACCCCAGGTCCAAATGCCTAGCAATGCTTTGATCACACCAGACAAGTCTTCTCCCCTTCCTCTTTCCTTCTTTTCCTTTCCTGAATGTTGGCAGTCTCCAACCTGATGCCTGCTCCTCTCTCCCACCCCTTTCCCAGCTCTTTCCTTTCAGGACAATTAGTAAAATGTTTGGTCTTTGGTTTGGATGAATAATTAATTTCCCAGCTTGGTGAATGATTCATGTTCCATATGCCACGGCCCCGGGAYGCGCCCGACACCGGCACCTGGCACAAAGGGCAGCACGAGGGGACAGGGTGGGCATCAAGGAAAAGGCTGCAGGAGATGGGGSTGGGGATCCCTGGGCAGGCAGAATTCTGGCTCTGGAGTTTTTGGGAGAGACAGGCATGGTGCTTTCTCATGGCTCGGKATCCAGCCCGTGTGCCGCTCACACGATTTCCGGCTCCATCCCTTTCCCTGCCTGTTGGTTTCCTCAAGCTGCAGAGTGAGTCAGTCCCTCCCACGGGGCTGGGGCACTGCCCCCAYTGCCAGGCACCCCTCCGTGCCCTGCGGTCCTTGGGGTTCCTGCTGCACCCCAACACCTCTGCCCCCATTTTGCTGTGGGGTGAAGCCTTGGGCTGCTTTGTACTGTCATGTGCCTCACTCYGGGACAAGAGTTTTGGGAATAAGCCTGGCCTGAGGGAAGGGAAAATGGGTTATTTCCACCTCATTCCCATATGGGAAGGCGGGATCACACAGGGGGATGTGCTGGGGTCTCACACCCCTGCTCTGGTGGGAGCTCACACCCTCTCCTGGGCTCTCTTTCTCTTGTGGGGCCRGCTCTCCGTCTCCTGTCGGTGACTTTAGGTTCTCACCAGGTCCTGTTTGTGCAAAAGCAGTTTCAGCAGCACCATCTCRCCCTGCCAAATCCTGTATCTGCTGGGAGGAAGCGTGGGGACAGAGGCAGGAGGGAGATGTGGGGTTTGACCAACCTGCAGGGTCCAAAGTAGGGGATACTSTCTCATGTACCTGGGGGCTTCTCCAGGAAGAGGCGGCCTTGGGGGATCATTTCACCCCCAGATCAGAGGCTGGTGAAGGCAGATTTTGTCCTTCAGCCTCACCACAGCATGCAGGGGGTCGCTTGTGCCCACCCAGAGCTCTCCAAGCAGCTGGGAAGGGCGGGAGCAGGAGCTCTGCTGCAGCTCAATCCACCTGGGTCACAGCCCCGAAACCTAGAAAGAGCGAGCCGAGGTGATGGAGGCTTTGACGTTGCTCTGAACTGTGCCAAGGGCAGGACTTGGCCCTGGTGGCCCTGTCCCTTGGTGTCCCCAAGGCTGTGCTCTGCTGTGGCACCCTCAGAGTGGGTGACCTGATCCYGCTGGCCCTGCCTCGAGCCAGGTTYGGACCCAAGAGCCCCGAGCACRTCCTGCCACMCAYGATGGTGTCTGCAGAGAGGGGAGGGATGAATCCACCCCATTGATTCACCCCAGAAAAGGGCAGGAGCRGGGTGGATTCATCAGGTAACTCACTTTCTGTGAGCCGTTTGACCAGTGTATTAATTATGAAGTAGTCTGCCTCACAGAGTCAGGTGGCAGTGCAAGCCTTCAGGGGCCTTCCCACTTAATTATAAATATTAATTTGTGTGCCAGCCAGCACCCTGCCTGCCCCAGATTTTGGGCTGAGATTAGTCTGTCTCAGCCGATGCCTCTCTCCACCCTTTGCTGGGACAGCCTGTGTGAGCTTCAACAGTGCTCCCTGAGGGAAATACTTGAGGGGGGAGGGGCTCAGTTTGGGGTGGGGGGATCAATCGAGGGTCGATTTGATCATTTGGGGGTTCAGCTTTCACTTGGGGTCTCTGGTGTGAAGGTCTGCAATGTGACCTGAGCTGTGTGTGCTGTCCCCACGGGATGGGATGGGATAATGGGGATGGGATGGGATAATGGGGATGGGATGGGATAATGGGGATGGGATGGGATAATGGGAAAGGGATGGGATAATGGGGAAGGGATCCCAGCAATGCCCCTGGCACAGGCAGAGCAGGCACGATGGTCTCTGTGATGTGGGATAGTGCCCAAATTCAGCGCTGACTCCATGTGGGCAGGGACATCGAGCATCACTCGTGCTTTATTCTACACG